TAGAAAGTTGTTCACTGTTTCTATTTTCATGCAGGGCTTTACTGCAGATGTACAAACACAATTGTGAATAGTGTGTGTAATCTATTCACACATCTTTTCATAGATCTCTTCACATATTTGTTTATATTGACAAGAACATTAGCATTTCCAATGACCAATTGGAAATTGTATTGGCCTGGCAGCAGAAGCAGCTCTTGCCCCACACAAAGGCAGAGAGGTTGTTTTTTCTTATTGAAATGTAAACCTTCCAACATGTTCTTCCATTTGCATTCCTCTGAATGTCAACAGTAGTAGGGGGATAGCAAGGGTGGTTTGAGGGGGTTGTGTGTACTTTGGCACTGGCTCTGTATGACAATAGTCCCCACACACACACAACACCACCTCCTCCTAATAAAGTAATGCCAACTCAATTTTTTTACTCTGAATTTAGTTAGTCACAGCCAAAATCTTAAGAAACATCTGAAATAGCTAAATCTTGATTCTCAATCTCTCCTTCATGCTCCACCTCCCCTGTTTGCATTCCACAGCTGTTCTCTGGCGTGACATTGGATAATTGGTTTCCACTCTCATTTCTGGGGATTGACATGCACGTGTCAGTCCCCAAACTGTTTCTGTGTGCCAACATGTGTGGCTGTGTGCATGTAGAAGAGACAGACAAACAAAAGCAGTAGCAATAACAGAGGATCTGGGTGTTTTCGTCTGGCGGGCATGTGACTATAGACATGTATTTAAGGTAAGACTTTAAACTCTGGGATTATCCAGTTTTCACCGATTGAGAAGTTGTTGTTTTCTTCTCACGTGCAAAACATATGAGTGAAAACATAGTAAAACTGCACTTGACCACTGCAGGTTTTTAACTGTGTAAAGGGGAAGATTAAGACACGTTTTGATATGAGAGGCAAAGGAGGAATTATCTTAAACATCAATGGTATGTTGCAAAACAAATTACATGTAGAAATGTTTTTACAGTGATTGTAATGTTAATAAATAATGATGATAAAATGTCAAGGTATTTTGGTAAAGAAAGTTAGTTTTTAGCGCTTTACTTCTAATAAACATCTGCATAAGGGATTGTTTTCAGTCTAATCGGATAAAAACAGCAACAGGTCAATTAATGGGATAATTATGATAATAAGATAATTAACAGTTATTCATTTTGTAGGAAAATCCTCTGCACCTCTTCCATGTGTATACAGTAAATAATGTCATCAGCACACATCTGTAGGCAAAACAGTAATTCCCCCGAGATTGACCCCTGCGGTACACCCATTAGACAGTGTTGCAAGAATAGAAAGTTATCAGTTTGTATTAAGACATTAACTTCAAACTATTGTTGATTTTTTTTAAAGTAGAAGTGGATAGATGGATCTTCAAATATATTTCAGACTAACCATTTCAGCTTCAGTCTCATTTTTCATGAATCATTATTGTTCAGGCATCCATGGCAACAAACACACACACATTTATTTCTAATGTAATTTCTCTATAAAAACCCTGGGAGCCGGGTTGTAATGAGATAAAATCATCCTAAGTATGACAGAGGCACACAGACGGACAGGGACACTCTGCTCTGGATAGATCATGTTGGGACACGGGGTCCAGCGGTTGAGATTTATGGTTTTGGGCCTCTGTCGGTAATTCAGACCCCCCTGGGCCCTGTCTGTCTGTCTCGCCTGCTTTACTGCCCAGACTGAACGGAGCTGGAGCTTGTGCTGGAGGCAGAGCGAGGTTCAGAGTAGGGTCTCTGTGGTGGTTTAGTATAGTCAGCCTCCTTGGGGGCTGATTCTGGGCCAGGGCTGGAGCTCTGATCTGTGGATGTGGTTACATCGAGGTTGAAATAAAGCCAGTGCCAAGAACAGCTTCAGATACTGGAAATGGTACAAGCAGTTTGAGAAAATGTATGCATAGTAATACTGTGGATATGAAGTGAAATGTTTGGTCTCTGTGTGCAACAAAAGGGAGAATGAATGTGTGATTCAGACATAATTCTGGCTCTCACTATGCCAGCTCTGATGTGACTGTTACTACAACTCTTCTCTGTCCTCTTCACAGTCCTCAGTGGGACAGCATGACCTGTTCAGCTCATCAGCTCACAGGTAACAAGAGCCCAGCGATGAGTAGGGATGAAGATGCTGCTGTGCACATGCAGCCCTATTCAGGTTGTATGAAAGTAAACACAGAAAAGGGAGGAGCAGATGTGTCCCAAATATTTGTTTTGATGATGTTTTCAGTCACTCCTTTGTCCATCACCATTATCCTCCCATCATTTTCATCATCTTATATCGATAACTTTAATCACCTTGTTATTTTTTACAGTTTACCCGTGTATCTGTCATCTTTTGTCATCCCAGGGGCAGCTCTCCCGTCAGTCCAGTGTCTTCAAGACTAAATAAAGTTTTGTGTGCGAACTGACAGACAGGCTCAGTCCTGTCACTGCCTCTCACAGGAAGAATGAACCTGAATACAGGTGGATTAGGCACCTGTGAACACAAATCTGATGGCGTAAATACACAGGCACGCCTAAACCAACAGAAAATACTGAAAATATGACAACACTAGGATGTTAACATTTTAGTCTGCAACCTAAAGGACTTTCCTTCAACATACTGTAGACAGACAGATGAAAAAAGCATATTTAAATACAACAGTAGTCCTGTAATTTGATGTGAAGTTAGGTTAAATAAGGTGAAAATTGGCACGCCTGGTTATGGCCAAATAAACCACCAAAGAACCTTTTCACCTGCCTTGATGCACTTCGCTCTTTACGAGTATTTTTTATTTGTCCAGCTTAGACAGCGTTTTCATGAGATACCGCTGGCTTCTTCTGAGGGGATAGAAATCATTAATCCTTGTCTCCTTTCCTCGGGTGAGCCCTCTGACTCCTTAAAGAGCGAGAGGTGGGTAAGTAATTGCACGTGTCCTCACCGATGAGCAAATCTTCGCCTTGTGCCTGAGAGTCACACTTACTCACTGATGCTATTCTGCTAAGTCAGTCACTCATTGATGTGTAATTGACGTCAACCTTGTTTTCTCCATCATGGTGTTTGTTCACGGTGAGGTTTACAGGATAGTTTATCATGAGTTATTCTTCTGATTTCCTTCATGAAAACAACTAGAAGTGTCCTCCAAACCCTTCTGAGCTACGGTGGACTCCTTCAACACGTTCATTATGAAAATATACACTCATGATTGAGGGCCCCAAATTCATTCATATGCACATGCACACCCACATAGACTCCCATGCTTTGGCGTAATCTCAGTAATTATGCAGCACAGACATGGCACAAAGAATTAAAACGAGTGTGTGTGTGCCTGATTCAGAGGCAGACTGAGACGAATCTCATAGATTCTCAAGGTCGCCTCTCTCTGCAGAGTCTGTCCTTTGTGAGGGCGCTTCACAAGGCGGGAGTGTGTGGGAATACAGATGCTGGGTGTTTTGATGTTTTAATCAGTACGTGCGCTAGCGGAAGTGCAAAGTGTAATGGTAGTTGGAGGCATAAAAAAAAAATCTTGCCACTTTTTTGTCAACTTACCTGTACACAGTAAAATGCTAAGCTGAAAGAAGTAACTGAAAACATGACCCCACCATAGATGATACTTGGATGCTGGTTAAGCCTCAGCCTCGCTTTCAGAAACACATAATGTGTGCTGCCGGGAAGAGTTACGGTGTAGCTGGGCCATTAGGTTGCCACAGAGTGAGAGAAAGGAAACAGACGGGCCAAACTGCTCCGGGCATTAATGGAGAATACGTGTCAGTGTTCCTGAAGGGTACGCACTGTACCCTCCGTTAAAATTGGCACCAAGTACAATGAAAGAAAAAGATGTGCGTCAGACATCCTGAAGAAGTAGTACCACAGAATCATGTGCCACCCGACCCCCCCCCCCTTCATTAAACCACCACAGAAAAAACGATCCTGGCCTAGTCCTTCAC